TGCTTGTTAAGCCTGATAGTTTTAAGATAAGAACAGTCAGGCCAGCTAGAGGAAGCAGACAGAATGCAACTATAATAATTGGCGATAACCACGCAGAAAGACTAATAGCATTGGAGAAAGTAAAGGTCGGGTGGACAAACTGCAGAGTTGAAGAAAGGAAAGATGAGCAGAAATGTTATAGGTGCTGGGAGTATGTCCACATCAAATCACAATAAACATGCCAACTTATTTATTAAAATATTTAAACTCTTATTATGCAATAACGCTTGGCTTTAGCTCCAATGGCAGGGTTCAGATGAATCTTGATAAATTAATCAGGGTATAATGTGCGTAACTCGCCAATGAACTCAATGTACTTCCTTCAATTTTCTTATTCTAGTAGGTATTACTAAAACACTGATAAAAAATTACACACTGTGACTAAAACAAATCGATTATCCACCATCTGCCATAGACGCATCCTGCAATAGTTCGGTCATATCACTCGCAGAGGTGATGAAAACCTTGAAAAACTCATAGTACAAGGCAAAGTAGAAAGCCGAAGACCCAGAGGACGATCATCATCAAGATGGCTTGACCTAATAGCAAATATTACAGGTCATCCATGCATTTCAATCAAATCTCCGAGAGGCGGAAGATCGCCAACGATTGAAGATCAAATAGCCATGGTGTCACGATTCTTCAGACATGAAGAAACGACGAAGAAGAAGAAGATTACTAAAACACAAGTATTATTACTATATTACAAAGTACATAAGACGCCCATGAAGCACAAATATAAACACCCGCAGAAATTTAAAAGAAAAACTCATTGAATATCTTGCTGCATCCTAAAAACGATTTCAGTTTTGAAAAAAGAAACTAAATTAAATCCTCGACGGATTTCTTCACAAAACGAGCATCTTTTGCAGTGAAAAACAGACAAAAGCCGTCTTTGGCTGCAACAACAGCAGCGGTTGCAGTAACGACAGTAGCGACACTTGTGTCTAGCCCTAGCAGACAGCTATTAAGCCCGACCAATCACGTTAGAGTTTTTGACAAACACAAATGAATTAACACACTTCAAATAACCACGCTAACCAACCTGATTGGTCAAGCTTAAAAGTTGACTGCTGGGGCTAGACACTTCTGTAGCTACGAGCGCGATCTTGAAATCCCCCCTCGTGTCTTACGTTGGCAATCTCTCCTTCATCTCTTTCTCTCTCCCTTGCTTGGTCCCTTCTCCTTCTCACCCACCTCTTCTTGACACACGAGTAGCTTCTAAGCACAAAAGTACAAAAATATGTTATTAAACTGATATTAGGTGTCAAAATCAACGAGTGTACAAATTGTTTCTCGATTACTGTTTGTATTATTTGAAATGTTTGAAATTGATTAAAAAATTATTTGTATCTAGTGTTTTACAAAAATAGTGTTTTATTCGGAGTAAAAATGTACTTTTTGTGCCTCCTTGTAACGGCGGAATATGCTTTACGGTGGTCCTTCAAATGTACAGCGTCTTCAAAAAACTATAATTTGTACTCTTAATAAAACAATACACTATTGTTCGGAAATAGTCTTAGGTCGAGAATGGAATTAGTATTATCTAATGTCAAAGTGTAAAGTACTTACTGCAAATCAAAATGTCGGTAAGAATTTGGAAACATACCAACGTTTAAAAAAAATATAAAACAACATATTTTCTGACAACGATTATAGGTTTTCGGCAATGAAGTATAGTCTCTATATCAGAAGAACCTAGTTCTGGCACTAGTCTGCCTAATTTTTGTTAATTAGACATAAATTTTAAAATAAATCCCTGCGTTTAGCGGTCTTATGAATTCACACAAAATTAGTTCAAAAATCGGTTCAACATTTAAGTTGATGAATATAGATATTTTTATACGAGTATAGTTTAATAAAATTTATAATTATTTTTCGATTTATTATCTGTTATATCTGTTATAGAAATATTTTTTATAGTTTTCTAGGACAGATTTTTATAACTTTTACAGTTATTTTTTGATTTATTATAAAGTTTTAATAAAATTAATTTTTTGATTTAAATCACATGATTAAAATTAAAAAAAAAATCACTTGATTTAAATCACGATTTAAACCATGCCAACCCTGGTAGTAAGTAAAGTGACATTATTTTCCTCGATAGTAGTTATTTCTGCTTCTTCACTTCTTGGTATTTTTTGGGGTGGTTCATCACTCTACAAATTACAAAGAAATGTTACATCACGATTAATCAAAGTAAAGCAAATAAATTATTAAAATTATAAGCTTTGGTCACATTTTGAATTTTTTAATACGACGACTTGAAATTCTAAAATTTTTGTAATTATTTGCATAAAAAAATCGATACCTATATTCTTATTCTATCTATAGTCACACATGCATTATCTAAACAGGTGCATGCATTATCTAAACATAGGTAAATATCTCTTACCTTCAAATATAGCAAATAAATGCTCTAATTTCCATTTTTCCAGAAACTCCTTTAAAGAATCCATATATCCTAAAATTTGTCCATAAAAATGACAATGCATGTTAATAACGATCACTAATTTGTTATACGATATGCGTTTAAAAAGCAAATTATGCAAAATTCCAAGTGGAAAATTCCAAGCAACAAAACCCGTGCGTACTATGACTGCCGACTGATTATATACATGATTATCACAACCAAACCGTCCTTCGTCATCGTCTTTGCGTGTTGTTATTATTTTTCATCAAAAGAGTATTTAGCTATTGGAAAAATGACCATGTTTCTTGAATGAAGTACTTCCTAGCGTATTTTTCTTATTATCTTAAAACAAAGTAACTTGCACTTGGTTGAATGAAAATAGATTCAAGAGAAATTTTCGAATTTTTCAAGAGAACCAACCAAACCAGTTCGCAACCAAACCAAACCAGTTTTCTTGAGTTAAGAGAGTTTTTCTTCAGGCGAAATATTTTCTTTTACGCTAAAATAAATTCTCTTGCCACTAAATTTTTTTTTCAAGAACGATGACGACTTTAGTTCAAGTCTATCTTTTTTATCAGTGCAGGTCATCCATTTCAATCAAACCTTCGAGAGGCGGAAGATCGCCAACGATGGAAGATCAAATAGCCATGGTGTCACGATTCTTCAGACATGAAGAAACGACGACGAAGAAGGAGATTACTAAAACACAAGTATTATTACTATATTACAAAGTACATAAGACGCCCATGAAGCACCAATATAAAAAACCGCAGAAATTTAAAAGAAAAACTCATTGAATATCTTGCTGCATCCTAAAAACGATTTCAGTTTTGAAAAAAGAAACTAAATTAAATCCTTGACGGATTTCTTCACAAAACGAGAATCTCTTGCAGTGAAAAACAGACAAAAGCCGTATTTGGCTGCAGCAACTGCAGCGGTTGCAGTAACGACAGTAGCGACGAGCGCGATCTTGAAATCCCCCCTCGTGTCCTACGTTGGCAATCTCTCCTTCATCTCTTTCTCTCTCCCTTGCTTGGTCTCCTTCTCCTTCTCACCCACCTCTTCTTGACACACGAGTAGCTGTTTCTCCTTTCGGACTGACGATAAATTCGGTTCGTGATGAATAAGTAAGCGACCACTCCTCGTCGAGTGAAAGGTCGGAATTAGGGAGGCAATATTCAAACGGTAAGAGAAAAACACGCTAACGACATCGCTAAATGTCAGGTTTGCCGTTAACATAATAAATAGAGGAAGTGAGGGTATTATTTTGGAATAGTAGTTACAAAAAAAATTGCAAAAAATTATATATTGTATGCCATACCAAAGTTTCAAAGTATTTAAAGTAATTTAAATGAATTTTTTCACTCATGAGAAAAAGTGCAGAAAATCTCTGTAGATATGTAGAATGTTGAGGAGGGGAGTTAATCACCGCGACCTTATAGATCTAATGTGTGTTCCCCTTTCTAGAGTTATAACAAATTATAACTCATCATACGGTCCCAGGGTTTTAACAAAAGTCAGTATCTGAGACGGCTCCACAGAGGCCAGCTCTCCATCCTCGACATCAGACCTACCAAAGTTCATGGCACGAATGGTCGTCGTCTCGGCGCACTCAGTGATAAGGTGTTTCCCCATTTTCCCCACAGAATCTGCATTCGCCGTTGTTTCTCAGCTTCAGCCTACTGAGGTGTTCGTTGAGGAGACAGTGTCCTGTTAAAAACCCCGTGACAATCCGAAGATTATTTTTACTTAAATCAAGGAAAGCCTTTGATTTTTCTCGGTCGTAAGTTCTGAGGAACTTTTTCGAGTGTCTTAGACCGTTGTAGGAGACCCATTCCAAGTTACGGATGGAGTCTTCCAGATTCTTCAGTTCTGCTTTCAGTTGGTTCCCGTTTGGAAAACAGAACGGTTCTGGTCCAGTTAGTGGTGTGTCTGTCGACGTAACATGCAGGTAATTTGATATACCACCAAAATAGTATCAGATATATATTGTTTATATTAAAAAGGTAGATAAAACGTTGTTGACTTCTACCTAACACAATTATTATCCGGACATAGATACTTTGAAGCTTATTTTAAACGCTTTCACCTTAAGGATACGGATACTTATATATACGGAACTGGTTGACCCTGTCCAACATACATTTTACCATTGCGCAAGATGGAGCTTCATTAGACATGCTGTAGAAGAGAAAGTGGGTAAACTAACACCAAATAACCTAATCGACATCATGCTGAAGAACGAAATATTCTGGAAGTAAATAAGCAAAATGGCTAAGGAATTCTTATGGAACAAAGAAAAGAGAGAGAAAGTATGATCCGATAGGTCCAATCCAGCCACATAGAACAGAACATCTACATAGAACCCTCCTTCTGAAATAATGCTAACGCGGTCCCAGAAGGAGACATGTAAAGGGTATGAGGGTTGTTTTAGTTAGTAAGTCTGACACTACTTCGGTTATCTTACCAATTACCCATGATGGGTTTTTTCTCTCTCAAAAAAAATAAAACTTTGTTGAAAAGTATCCAAATATTTATTAAGAGAAAATTACCCAGAATATTTACAGTAGTCGCACACATCTACGGTTCCGGTGTCATATCCGACACAGAGTGCACCCAGGATTCGCATGTGAGGCACTGATCCCACTATTCTTCCCTTGACCTTTTCTTCGCTGAAAAAAAAACATAATAGCTTACTTTAAATAGATTTCTCTTATTACCAATTCTGAACCATCCTATAGGACGGTGTAGAATCAGTAATAACAAGAACTCGAACAAAGCTACAGTCTCTTCTGGCTCTCTATTTAAATCAAATTCTGGAGCGGATTCTGAGAAGGTCTAAATAATTCAGCTTGCATTAGATTCACTATTTGTTCTTGTCTTCTGATTTTTGCTTATGTTACCCTATATCTCTCCTACAACTAAGACCAAATTAAGACAAATCTATCGACACCTTATATGTTAAAATCTATCAATCACGTTGAGCTACAGTGGCTGCCGAAGAAATTAACATACATTCACAGAAACGAAAAGCAGATGAATATAATTTGGACTATTCCAAATTTGCATCAGTTATAGTATTCCAAATTAGCAACATGAACATAAGTACATAAGCCGCCCATGAAGCACCATTGTAAATATCCGCAGAAATTTAAAAGCAAACTCATTGAATATTTTGCTGCAATTATCCATTCTGGTTGTGATAATGAACGTCCCTATCGATAACGTAACGACAAACATCTTTACACTCATTAGTTCTATATGTTAATGCCTCTGCTCCGTAATCACAGGATGAACTTCTGGCACTTCTGGCACAAATTACCTATATTTACTATATATACTATATTGTAGTTAATTTGTGCTTCTGGTTATAAACTGTATTTGCTGACTATATGATGACTAAATAACATGACGTCAAGGAGAAATTCGATCTGTACAGTATTTTTAAACTACATCTTGATATTTTATTTGGTATTGGTTAAAAGCATTTAGTAAAAATGCCATAAAAGGAATGAGTGGAAGTCTAGATATTTCATTACACACACAGGGACGGTTATTAATTTACCTAAAAAGTAAATCAATAAGAAAACTTCAGAATATTATTAAATGTTACAATGCTAACGAAACATGTGTCTACGAAACTGACACAAATGATCATTTTAATCTCTCCAAATTTTATAAGTATATTCTATCGTCATATGAAAAACTCTCATCCTAACCCAAAATATATTTTTCTAGAAAATATTATTATAAAATAAAGAAAAATCTCGAATATATAGCGTTTACTGTTACACTCCGATATATTTAGCATTAAGTAATTTACTGCGTCTCTTGTTTCATGTGCTGTTTTTCCCGTCCAGTCTATTGTTTCATCTCCTGTAACACCTAACCTGTCCTTTTATCCAAAATAACACGTAGTCTGTTTCTCACGTTTCTACTATCATCTTATTCCGTTGTTTACTGAACTTGTAGATTCAATCGCCATCGCATTTTACTTTATTTTATCTTCAAAACAAAAGGTCACTTTTATAATATTATTTTGCGTTTTATGTAGACAACGTAGTTATAGGAAACACATAACTATAAAGAAAATATTTCAATAGAGATATTTTTATATCATGCTTTATACCCGTTCCTTATGTTATTCCCTTTCCTTACATTAAGTAATATTTATTATTGAAATGGAAGAGAAAAATACCTACATAATGTTTACTTGGGCTTGTACAGAAAAAAATTTAGAGCGCACATTGTTTATAATTTATATTCTCTATTATGGATCCAGGGCAACACCTGTATCAGGTCTATGGAGAATGGAGATACATACATATACATACTGCCATTACTCGCTGACGAGTATTTGACACGCATCAGAAGATGGTCACGCAAGGCGTTTTCTTTCATTAGCTTTTCTGTGACTGAAAAGCTCGATAGGTGATGTTATCTGTTTACCGCACTCCGAACATTCAAAAATCTCATTACATTGTTGCCTCTTTACTTTTTGGTTGTCGCTGTTAACTGAGTTTACAATTCTTCTCCAATGAGTTCTATTGTGAGATGCTTGTTCCCACACATTCTGCATGTTAATTCCCTTTAAGTTTTCGTGGAAAATGTCCTTGTACCTTTTGAGCTGTTCACCCGGCCTTCTCTTACCGTCTACAAGCTCACCGTAAAGCAGAGATTTTGGTATGCGACTTTCTTGCATTCTGCATACGTGACCAGCCCATCTTAAGCGGGATTTTGTAACCATGACTCCAATACTCTCTCAGTTAGCTTTTTCAAGGACCGATACGTTTGAGACATGATAGAACCATTTGATACTTAAGAGTTGTCTAAGGTTGCAACTTGTTTAATGCGTTCATGTGTCGGGGCGGCGGTACGGCACCCAGGTTTAGCTCCCATACAACATGGTAGGGATTATTATTGCTCGGTACACTGCAAGTGTCGTTTTGGTGCTCAAGTCATGGTTGTAGAAAATCCTGTCTTTTAATTACCAGAACGCTCTTGAGGCGCTGCTAATCCTGTGCTGAATTTATGGAAATACCAACTAAAGAAGTGGAGAAAAAGAAGACTGTACTAAAAAAGAGACAGGAATCTATCTTCACTTTTTAAGTACTGAAATATGTAACACTTACAGCGGTTTCAGATGGAGCGGCCCTGAACATCCGCGCGGACGTTTTTTCAAGATAGCTCATCCGGACGGAGCATACGCGACCCATGTGAAATTGTTCATATGCCAAGTGAAATCATTCATGGTACTTGTTCGAAGTCGCAGACAGTCCATCGCGGACACTCCGCTCCATCTGAAAGCGCTGTTATAATAACTTCTATAGAAGAGAATTATAATAGATCGAAAAAAAATTAAGACTTCAACTCCGTGTAGCTACGAAACTAAAACATTAAGCTATGCCGCCTTGAGGCTATCCCCTTTGCGGGACAGTCGCCCTGTGGGCTTAGCTACAAAACAACAACGCTATGTCGCCTTGTGGCCTTAGCTTCAGCTATAGCACCTTGTGGCCATCCCTTTTGTGGGACAGTCGCCTTGTGGGCTTAGCTACAAAACAACAACAGAACGCTATGTCGCTTTGTGGCCATCTCCTTTGTGGAACAGACGCCTTGTGGCCTTAGCAACGCAACAACAACAAAACGCGATGTCGCCTCGTGGCCATCCCCTTTGTGGAACAGACGCCTGCTGAATTGCGTCAAATAATATAAAAGAGTAAGAGTTCCGGCCAAGGTAAGTTTCTTTTATTTTTGTTTTTTTTAATCCTTCTCACAGTTGTACATCACATGTTTCGTTCTTCTTGATATTCTATCGCTCCAAAGAAGAGAGTTTAGTTCCCGAATTATTCTTTTTCCCTGTCCAATTTTATTGGATATATCCTCATTACTTTTGCTATCTGAGGAAAAAGTTACTCTACGATTTAAATTTGGACCAGTGTTTTATTGTTTTGTCCAAGGACCAAATCACTAAGATCGTCGTTTCCTACAGACATATAATCGGTCTTTTTCATATTTACAATCAATCCAAATTATTCCAACTCTGTCTCAAGCACCCTCGGCAAGTAGCTAGCATCATCTCGGTCTCCTGTTATCAAAACTTAGTCATCGGCGAAGAGAAGAGTATAGAGCATAAAGTCCTCGATTGGTAGGCCCATTCCACCACATCTTTTCCATTTTTTCAGAACCTCTTCGACATATATTTTAAAGAGTAGAGGGGCTAAGGAACATCCTTGTCTGAGTCCCTTGGAAACAATAAATTCCTCCAAAAAATCCTATATGTGTACTTCGCCACTGCAAAAAATCTACAAAATAAAATAGTTATAGTTTTTTGTAAACACTGCTGCGTTAATCCAATGGAAACTACTTGTGAGCAGTTAGGTTTACTGATAAACAAATTTGCCTAACGAACAAAAAAATTTCTTAACTTTTCGGAAAGTTTATCTCTTTCCGTCGCCGTCGTCGGAAGCAAAAAAAAACAAAGAATGAAGAGAAAAACTATTTAAAATATTTAAATGCAACTATTCGAGAACACTTTAGTTATAAGTCTACTAAACTTGTTGACATGTAGTTTCCGTTGGATTAACGCCAGCAGTGTTTATAAAAAATATAACTATTTTATTTTGTAGATTTTCTTGCAGTGGCGAAATACCCATATTGATTTTTTTTGGAGAGATGAATTCGCCACATAGGTATAGACATTTTTTAATAAATTCCTCTTTCCTAATAATTTCCTAAATTTTCCTTTCCATACTAGTTTTATTTGGTTTTTAATTTATCTATATATATATAAAAATAAATTATTTTTTATTGACCAACACAAAATAAGACAGAATAGTGAAAATAGACGACTCTGCTGCGATATGTCCCTAATCTTACCAATACTCAACTTCGTTGTTTAGGATAATAAATTGTGTATCTAGAATGATCTCGAAGTGAAACATCAATTCTGATAAATGTTCACGCCGAGAATATAGCCGAGGGGGTGATGTGACGGAATAAAAGTACGAATTTGATTGCCAGACGAAAGAAATGGAAATCGGGCGTCACTCTAACGCCCTTTAAAAAAGTCGAATTCCCGTTCCAACTCCCTAAATAGAAAAACAAATTACATTTCGATATTTTATGTTCCGTCTTAACAATAAATCTTCCTGTTTTTTATTTCCGTCTGTTATGTACAGGGTGGCGCCTCTCATGCCGCGGAAGCTCCAAGGAGAACGGTAATTTATATCGAAATGAAATTTTGGCAGTATTTGTAGGTTAACTGAAAGCATTTTATAAAAATATATTGAACTAGCGTGTACCCGCGACTTCGTTGGCGCCGAATTAATCATTTATAATGGTGATGATAAAGCAAAGCAAGAATGTCCATTAACATACAAACTGGATAAAATTTTCTCACATTTATGTCAACATGAGAAAAAACAATATAGAGATATTATTATATATCATATTTGAGGGGTAGTTTCATTTCGTTGGAATTTGACTTTCGAAAAATCCGTTTGCCCAAAATAAGCTTTTTACGTCAAACAGTTTAAGCAGAATCGTGGTTAATCAATTACCCAACCTTTTGGAACACCCTGTATGATTTTTTAAAAAAATTCAAAATATGTAAAAAACAAAATAAATTATGCGTGTCCAAGCATTTTCCCGAATGACTAACAGTTTTTTAAATAACAAATATTGTAATATTTGAGGGGCGTTTTCACCCTCTTGGAATTTGAGATTCGAGAAACCCCTCCTTATCGAACCTCTACACCCCACAGTCAATCCGTTTGCCAAAAATCAGCTTTAAACGTCAAGCAGTTTAAGCAGAATCGTGATTACTCAATGGTCATATT